AACTTGTCATTTTCCCCATGATTTATTTTCTTATTTTCTTATAGTCATAATGTATTAACAAATAATGAACAAAAATGTTTCAAAATAATAAAATTATTTGGCATTTTTTTTTCAAATTGCATACACGCAGAGAAATGTATTTACAAAACGTGAATAGTACAGTCTGGCGCACCGCTAGACAAGTTGGGACAAGTATCGAACATATTTAATAAACCAAGGCAGTAAAAAAAAAATGTAAAAAGTAACAAATGAATAAAAATAAATCATATTTTAAAATAATGTCTATGAAAAAAATTCTGTCTCTGTCGAATAGTGAGAGGCGGGCACATACGAATTGTTCAGCGGGCGCCATGGCGCCCGCGGGCATAGGGTTGGGAACCCCTGCTATAAACGGTAGTAGATCGCGTCAGGTCAAACACGACTCTCTCACAGCAGCCCTAACAATCACATATAAAGTGTCGTATAGTCCATAAAGAGATCTTTGTGCTAAAATTTCTCTTTGCGCATTTTTCGGTGTGCACACTTTTCTATGTGTGCTTTTTTTCTGTTTGCGTTTTTTTTTTTTGCGCTTGTTTCCGTTGCACATTTTTCCGTTGCGCTTTTTTCTGTGTGCCGTTTTTTTGTGTGTGCGCTTTTTTCCGTTTGCGCTTTTTTCTGTTTGCACTTTTTTCTGTTTGCTCTTTTTTTCTGTTTGCGCTTTCTTCTGTTTGCGCTTTTTTCTGTGTGCGGTTTTTTCTGATTGCGCTTTTTTCTGTTTGCGCTTTTTTCCGTTGCGATTTTTTTGCGTTTTTTTCCGTTGCGCTTTTTTCTGTTGCGCTTTTTTTCTGGGAACCCAAAAATTAATATTTAGTGTTTTAAAACAATTTTCATTTTGCATACTTAGAATAATATTTTTCAATATGAACATTACATAAAATTTAAACAAAAAATTTATCAACGTTTATAAATTTTTTAATTGTGTCTGAAAAGTATTTGCATTTAGTCGTTTAGCACTCATTACGTCCCTTGATTAGGAAAACACAGTTACTTCCCTTTTAAAAAACCAAAATCGGGGAGAAAAGAATTTACTTTTTATTACTTTGTTTTGGTGTTGGGAAAAAAAATAATTACATAATTAGCGGGGATTGACTAAGTGCAATGTTGTTGGTATTTTTAATACTGCCTTTTATTTATTCCATACACTGAACGTACTGGTGAAGTAACAACAGACATCTTTATTCGCAGTTTATTATTTTTGTCTTTTTTTTGCGCATTCATTTTGTCTGTCCTTTTTTGCGCACGAAGGGAAATCGTTTTTGTCGGTCGCACCAGAAAGCTCTTTTCGGATTGTGCTGTGTTCGTGTTGTGGTTGTGTTTGTATTGTGTTGTGTATGTGTTGTGTTGTGGTTGGGTTTGGATTTGGTTTGTTTACGTTTGCTTTTTCGTTTGTTTTTTCTTTGTGTTTGTATTGGTGTTTGCGGTTGTGGTTGGGTTTGTTGTTTTTGTTTTCGTTTGTATTTGTAATTGTGTTTGCGTTATGTTTGCGTTTTTTTTTTTTTTTTTTTTTTTTTGTTGGTTGTGGTTAGGGTGGGCAATGCCGGGTATATGATGATTACTAAACACACAGATGGTCTTTAACATAAAGGTTCTTCACAGAGGCCAGAGCAGGGCCTGGCCGGGACGGCTAGTATCTTATATTAAGATACAGAGTTTCATTGTTAGTCGATGGCACCCACGAGTTTCTATTGTCACCAGCCACGAATACTTTACACACACACACACACGCACGCGCGCGCGCGCACACACACACACATATTTGTGAACGTTTTGACAACCCCCCATGAGACGATCCTGGCTACGCCACTGAAGGGAGGAGGGGGGGAGGGGGGACCCTACCAGAAGTGATGCATGAAAGAAACGCTGCACACAAACCACCTTTAAGATTAGAAAAATGAATTAGACGGTAATGTCAGTGTTTTTATTATAAAGTATCGATGACGACATTACTATTGTGTATTTTCGGTATTGGCTTTTTAATTCAATGTTTATTCGAGAATCAATGACGTCATATTATTGTGTGTACTTTCCCGGCTTTTGACTATTTCCTACTATATGTTCCATGTGACGTCACGTTTCGTTTTTCCTATAACTGTGCATGTTTTAACTTTGCTTGTGTTTTCTCTATTGTAAAAGCGTTACAGACAGCGAAAGCATTCCCAAGAGACAGACAGCGAAACTATTATTATAGACAAGATAAATGGCCCATTAAGGAAGGATATAACGGGTGCTAGGTTGATAGCGTCGTCTCTTTTCCCTAAACCAAAACCGAAATCACCACCTTAACTTCAAATTGATCCAGAAACAAAAATGACGAATAAAACGGATTTTTATCCAGAATCGGCATTTTAATCGAATTTAAGCTTGATCTTCACGTAGTTACTGCACATTGATACTAAATATAGTCGTTGCCATACCCCTAAACCTTGCACCTAAGCTCAAACATGACAAAAGTCGCATTTAGAGTTTCTTTCAGGCGACTCCACGTGGGGGTGAGGGGGGGGGAAGGCTCTGCCTGAATAACGTCTACCGTCCCATTCAACGAAATAGAATTTATATAGAAAATATTCTTTTAGTGTCTGAGTCCTCCCCAGAAAATTTACCCCCCCCCCCCCCTCCGATATGTAGGCTACTCGTCTGTTGCAATGTTTAATTTTTCCCGAGACATGTGAATGTATGTACACTTGTATAGTATACATATTGCAAGTGTAAAAGGCGGTTTTATATTAAAATTAAAAAGTTATTTGCGGCGAATATTTTTCTAGACGTATAGTATAGAGTCCTTGCAAACACGTGACCTAAATCACGTGATACCTACGCCCGCCGCCACAGTGGTGTACATCAGACGTAAACACAATCAGCTGTTCATCAGCGCTGGACGTGTTCACCAGCGCTGGACGTGTTCACCGTATGTAAAGAATCGCGCCCGCGGAAAAGGAAAAATATGTTAAAAAACTTGAACTCTTAGGAATTGAAGATCCTTATACAGTTATTGACAGTTTCGTGGATAATATAAATATGCGGCCGAAATTTCTAAATAAAAATACTGTTAGTAATACCGTTTGCGTTTAGAGTTTAAGTAGACGAAGCAGATCAAATGATGTAATATATTATAGGTTATCTACTGTAGCAAACGTGAGACCACTTAACTCCTACAAAACCCACACTACAACGGCTAATATAATCCATGGGTAATAACCAATCTGGGTAGCATGTTATACAATTTAAGACCCTTATAATCCAGCAGGGAAGTAATCAGACACATTAATACTGACGTTCAACCCTCATGATGGCTGCCCCCACCTGTATCTAGCCCACAATAAAACCAAAGAGGAGTCTGCCCTGCCCTCCCCTGAAAATGTCTCACCTCCGTGATACCCAGCCCCACAGAGATAGTATTTCTTATATAATTTTGACCCTCGGGGCCCAGCAGGGAGAACAAAGGAGAAAGTCCCACTGCTCTCCCCTCAACATTTCTCACCTCGATGTCATGTTATGTCATATATAGCACACATGGCTTATCAGGGGAAAGCATTAAGAATCTTAACTCTGGACAGCTACACACTAGTATACTAGCTACACACTAGGTGCCTACTGTAAACTACTAGACTGTAGGCCCTATGTAGACCTGCAATTGTATCAATTGTAGACTGGGTCCATTGTTATTATTCTAAACCATCTCACTTATAATGTTTCTAGCTTGATTTGTTTCTTTTATAAACAGTGGATTTAAAAAAATTAGCCTAATCATTAACCAAATAATAATAATGTGGTTATTTGTTGTTGGCTGGTATGATCTAGATTGTACTACTAGGCTACAAAAACTTAGTAGACCAATTACTAGATATGAATTTGAATTTAATTAAACTCAGTCCAGTATCAGATACATATTGCTGTAAAAAGACAACAAAGTAGGTAGGCCTTAGTAATTTATTAAAGCCTAACTACAATAATATCAACTACATGCTTGTATAAAGTTTTTACAATTTAATTTAAGTAGCAGATTCTAGATCTAAGTCTAGTCATACAATCTATTTCAATTTCAGAAAATTTCGTTTGCTAAAAAAATAATTAGATAATAGAGCGAGATTTTAGATCTTAGAGACAATTAAATGCTTTATTAGGCCTATTATGACTACTTTTGATTTATTATGGGTGTATTTTGAATCGAATGTAGATCTAAAGTAATTAAATTTAAGTAAAGAAGTAGATGCTAGATTCTATGTCTATGTCTACCCAGCGGAGCCAGGTATTAGGCCTACTATTAGATCTTATTATTCTTATTATTACTTTTGACTTTGTCTTTTACTATTAGTATTTGTGAAGGTCGAGCATATTTGTTTTATTAATAGTTATCTTTTATAATTAAAATGAAGTTTATTATTTTACTGTCCTTACCTGAAACAAAGTATCGAGAACTGCATTTGATCAGATTCGTCTACTTTAACTCTAAACGCAAACAGTATTACTAACAGTATTTTTATTTAGAAATTTTGTCCACATATTTATATTATCTACGAAACTGTCAATAACAGTATAAGGATCTTCAATTCCTACAAGTTTTTAAACGTATTTTTCCTTTTCCGCGAGTGCGGTTCTTTACATACAGTGAACGCGTTCAGCGCTGGTGAACACGTCCAGCGCTGGCGAACAGCTGATTGTGTTTACGTCTGGTGTACACCACTGTGGCGGCGGGCGTAGGTATCACGAACGGACGTGACGTCATATGAAAGGACTCTATACACGCCGTAGGCCCTAAGTGTAAATGCAGTAAATGGGGTGTAATTTTTTTTTTACTCAGCGAGCGAAAACAAAACTTGGCCCAGTATACAAAAAGGTGTGTGGTTTTATTTCAAGTTACATTTAGAATTTACGTACATATACCCATAACTTGTATTTATGGTTCTCAAATAAGTAGGTCAAGTATAGTATACATGTTTTGAATGTAAACGGCTAAACGCAGTAAGGTAATGGACTTTGTCCTTTGAACTTTGCATACAAGAAAGTTAAACGACTGCTGCTTACCAAAAATACAGAGATCTAGCAAGACTAGTCAAGAATCAAGGTCTAAGTTGACTAAGATCAATCAAGCTTGAGAAATTATTTACTAAACCTTTCAGGCCTAACTTAACAGTATAATATACAGTATAGAGTAAGTTGAAGTGAAGTAAGAATAATTAGAATTAAATATTAATAAATAGGGCCTAAGCATATAGGATAGTATATATATTCTACTATACGAGCCGACCCTCGGTGTATCATACGCCGCTATTTAGTTGTTGTTTTTTCTACTTTTCAGTAATTCATAATTTGTGAATTCGACAGTACCAATGCTGCCACTGAAAATATTTGCTTTAAAACACTACCCCCCCTCCCCCCGCGTGAAAATAGCCTCCTCTTAGTTACCTCCTCTAAGTTTAAATTCGTTTCAAACTAAATTATCTGCCCCTAATAGCCGTCACCAAACCCAGCTCTATGATTGTATTATGTAAACATTTAACGTGAACACAGCTCACCAGACAATGTGAGGGGTGGGCGGGGGGGGGGGGGGGTAGTGATAGATAGAGAGGATGAGAGGGGATTGTAAGGCGGGCTTGCAGCTTGTTTTCTAACGGCTCCCAGAAGAGAATTATATATATAGATAGTATAGTATATAGTATATAGATCTAGTATATATATATACATAATTTAATATATATAAGTTGGCTATTTAGCCTATTAGTTATAGTATTAGTATACTAAAAAATACTTATATTTTATATTACTATATAGATCTACTTTCTAGATCTAGTAGTTATAGCCATTATAGTATGATAAATTATAAAATTATGATTATAGTGCCCTGCCTAATAGTAATTAATATAATTATTCTAGATTCTGGATCTAACTAAATCTAGATCTAGTAACTTACTAAGTTGTAAGTACCTAACTATTACTAGATCTAACAAAGGCTACTACTCGACTACTACTACTACTAGCCCTATGATGGGCCTATAAGTACTAGACTAAGCATCTGGAATTTAGATCTACTGACTTAACACTTAACCAGATGATTGAAGATGCCAAATTACCAATGTCCGAAAATGGACTCTTCCAAAAAATAGGTGTGTTAGGAGGTTGTTAGTAGTATTGTAATCTAGACTAGTTTTATGGTTAGAAATTACTAGGGTTAGGCGTATGATAGGAGCTTATGACAGTGCAAATAAGGAGGAAGTGGGCTGGGTGTGACACACACTGCTAAATTCTCACTCTAATGTGACTTGCCAGGCATTGGAGTGGGACCCCCAGGGAAAGATGAAGAGATTTTTAATCCATTTTTAATTACTTAAACTTTTTATAATAGAATAGAATCTCGTAAAAAAAAAAAGAATTGCACACTAAGAGAACGCCAAATAAAATGTGTATAATAGTATGGAATATTATTAGTACTTTATAAATTCACATGCGTTTTTTTTTGAGAAATCGGAAATAGCGTAAATTACTACTTCCGGTCAACGGAAGTTACTAAAAATCTGATAGAAGGCAGAGAATTAGATCTTTTTACTTATATGTGAAATTTCATTTATGTATCTGAAATAGTACTCAAATTATAGGCTTTTGAAAAATTGAAAGTAGAAAAAGTTCCACTTCCGTTTATCAGAATTCGCTGAAAAGTTGATATGGATCTACAAATTTGATATAATACTTATATATGAAATTTCACCAACCTAGCTGTAATGGTACTCAAGTTATCGTGTTTACCAACACACACACACACACAGACATACGAACAAGATTGCAAAAATATGTTTTTCCAAAAATCTCGATTATTTTTTTTTGCACGATTACAATACTTTCTCTATACTTGTATACGAGAAAGTAAAAAAGTGATTTATTATTAAAATTTATTATAAAAATTAAGATTGTAGAAGAAAAAGAAGGGTAGGCCTACATTCATAAAACTAAATGCTTCTCCAGTTACTATGTATCGTAAAGTGAGAGCAAGGTAAGGAAATGGTTCCTATGGGGTTTGGGGAAGGGATAATTCTGCAGTGGGATGGGGCAGTAGGGGATATAGCAGGTGGGTAATGTATGACCCTAGCCATCATACAAAACAATATTTCAAGCTCATTTGCTGACACTCTTAATAATATTTTTAAAATATTGCATGTTCTCTTCCTTTAAAATAATAAAGTTTTTTTCACTTTGATTACTCTGTCTTTTAATTATTTAGATAGGCTTATATAGCAGATCCTTCTGGTCAAAGGTCATTTTTATTGTTAAAAATGTTCCATCACATGTTCTGTAAGTGTGAATGCTAAAGTGTACATGTTCTATGTTCCAGATAAAAATAACTTTAGCTTGCTTTGAGTTCTAGATGTATATAGTAAGTGTAAATGAAGAGTTAAAATAGTAAAATGACATAGGGCAAAAATACTCATGTTTTTAGTTAATCTGTGAAAATATTTACAATTTAATCAATACTAAATTATAATGGCTGAATTTTTCTCTCAATAATTGGAAAACTGTCTGTCCAAACACGATTTGAGCCTCTATAACTGCTTTTTATGAGTAGCTTCTATTGTTCTTTTGTGTTTTTTAGAATATTAAATAAATGTTCAGCAAATATTAAAACAAATTCCTCTTTTCTTTTAAGATAGAATGTCAAGATTTTATCAGGCTTATAAAATTAGTAAGTTGCAGTATCATGCTTTCAAAAAGTAAGTATGTATTATAGATATATACTTTGAAATATTTAGGAGCATTTAAAACTTATTAGGACATTATGGGTTAGTTTTAACATTTTAACCCTAAGCCTCATGCCAGAGCCGGCGTTAGGGGTACGCGGGGTCTAGGGCCAACCATCCGCGCGGGGCCTTAGATTTTTCCATTGGTGTCTAAAACATGTACAGTGAGAGGCGTTTTTTTTCTTCTCAACGCGAATTAATATTTATAACGATATATATGGTATTTTTAAGCTGCTTATCAATGTCGTATGTTAGTTTTAACATAAAGACACCGATTAAAAAATAATTTGTTTACTTAGAAGTGCTTTTGAAACGTTGCTTGTTTCTGTTAAAGCTTTTTGTTTGAAAAATAAAAAAAATAAAACAGATATAAGTTCAAGATACGCTTTAAAGAGATGATGAACGTCAGCTTCAAACTTGATTTTTTACATTAATTTTTATTTATGAAAATCTTACCAGTACGTTCACAAATGAAGATCTACTTTTCTTGCCTTTCTTGAGGAAAATTCCTTGATTATATAATCATTGTCCAAAATTGGAAGCAATGTTTTTTTCCATTGACAGACTCGACAGGCCACAGAGCCTGTCTTGGGACATTGTTGATACATGTTCCCAATTACCCGGATCATATATATCTTTTACGATCATTGGGAATGAATTATTTTTGTCAGAATCATTTTCAGAATGGCCGCATAATTTGTCCCTATTATCAAAGTTAGTGTAGTTTGCAGCTGACAATAAATAACTCGAGGATTCATTATTACCGTCATCACCACAAATGGTAGTACTCTCATTGTAGTCCTTTTTGTTACGTTCTACATTTGCTACGTTGGAATCCACAACCAAATCAAAATATTTAACGACTTTCTTTGGATAGTGTATGTACTTGTCCAACGCACCTGCTTGTGTTTTATCAAATTCTTCTCTTAAATTGCATTTCCTCGCTTTTGATGCACCTGATTTATACTTTTGAAATCAATCTCTGTCTCTTGTAGACATGGTGTCGAGCAAAAATGGTGAAATCATTTTGAAGCAACTCTAAGGCGGTCCACAGTGGCGGATGATAGTATCAATATTTTCTCAATTTATCGAGTGTTAACAGTGGCGTGCAGAGTGTGTGGATGCCGGGGAAAATAGAAAAACATTGATAGATTTCGGACCAAGCTCGAATCGTGAAAAAACACTGTTTACGGCTATAGATATCCAATTGAAATGACTCTCAAATGTAATCACGAATGCTCAGTAGGGTGGAACACTAACTGTACATTTAAATCTATGGGATGCCAAACCCTAAGAAAAAAAATCTCCCAGTTCGAGTACTACGTTACTGGATCTCTGACCGCAGCCATTCAGGAGAAGGTGCATGTTTATAGAGCGTCCACGGTTAAGACCACGTTCTCACAAGAGAAGGTTCGTGTCTATAATTAGAAAGTGAACCATATGACAACCAGCTTCACCTTATTTATGAGTTTCGCGACGGCATGCTCAGACTTCCGGTAATTTAGACGTTTGAGAAATCAGGAGAACTTTACCATAAAACGATCTCGGTCAGATGTATCAAACGGTATAGACATTATAATTTGTTTCGTATCCCTACACTATTTTAAAACAAAAATCACTATGGTCTTACCTAATATACTGGATATCTCTACAATTAATTAAAATAAACATGTGCTTAATCACTCAACGAATACCGTTAAAGTTTACCAAAATGAATATGGACATAATTACTGTATAAAAGCCCTTCAAAAATATATAATAAATTAAATACAAGTATAATGTATTTAAAGATGACCTGACAATATGTAAAATTAATATGAACATAATTACTGTATGGATGCCTTTCAAATGTATCATGGTGAATAAGCATAATTACATAAAAGATGTACCTACAGTGTATAAATTATGATTTTAGGGATAAATACTCTGGATACCTGGTGCATGTCCCCATCCACTACCCCCCCCTCCTCTGCAAGCCATCATCAGGTCAATGACTGTTTACTACAGGCACCCCCGCCTGATCACTAAAAAAAACGTCTTCATTGGTCCGAATACAATAGGGTATCGTATTACGTGTTTTCCTGATTTCACCTCCCTTGTCAGGTCTGGGGCTAATTCGCAACCACCATCACAAGTCACCTCAGATCAAAAGCGAGTCGACACTAAGCGGGGTGTGACACTAATGTCTTCGTATCGAGTTCATGTAAGGGATAACTCACTAACATCAGCAGCGGCCTCACTGAAAACAATCAACAATTTCTGCCTTTTTTTTTTCAAATTCAAGTCAGCATAGATTATTTAAGTTTACAAACTAATTCAGACAATAATGGCAGTGCTGAAGCGCGCGGCCCCTTCAAGCGTGGGGCCTGGTGCGACCGCCTTGTTTGCCACACCCTAACGCCAGCCCTGCCTCATGCTATTCCAACTATAACTGTAGTCCTAACATTGTGATTTGATTTTTGGGGTATAGCTGCTAAGTATTTTTTAAAAGGTTATCTTATAATAAGATTTTTTTCTGGTAGTAATCAATGATCACATAAGTTTTTATAATCAGTTTTATAGAGGTCAACTTGTCACCCGTCATTACTTTACTAAAAAGGAGCTTACAGTAGCTTAAGGTTATATGTGTAGCAAAAAAATCACCAAAATAGCAAAACATTCAAAATGGTGTTTTTTTTTCCAGATTTCCATGACTGCTAAATTGTTCTTAAACCCTTTTGCCGTTTAACACTTACTTTCACTGCCATGTATCAAACATGGTAAAAGTATTTTAAAGGCTTCAGATCTTAAATTGTAAAAAATATAAAAAAACTCCACATATCCCCTTAATATGCTACTTAGTCATACACTGAATTTCTGAAATAGAAATTATAATCACATTTCTTTCTTAATTTGGGAAATAGATTGGATCTAATCATAATAACTCAGAAACATACTGCTGATAAATACTTCTTAAGTATTGTAAAATATTTTCATACATAGACTTCAGGGAGCTTTTTTTTCAACTCATTTGCGTTTCATGGCTGCAACAGCTACCTCATCTGTTAAAGTAAGTTTATTTTTTTAAGAGTTGGGTCTGAATTCAGTATTTGTTTAAATAGATGTGGGAGATACCTATGTGGACATTGGAGTATAATACTTTAAAGTTTTTTTTTTAAACTTAACAATTTGGCAATAGATTCCTGAAAGTTGATTTCTATAATGTAGACATCAAGTGTCTTATTTTACACTTTTCACTTATCAGTAGAGTTCACCATTTCATTGACCTCCACATACAAAGGGATAGGATTGCTTGTTACAGGCACAGCAGCCTTTACACTCCATTAGGTACCCATCAGAGCTGGGTGGACTAAGAGATGTCCTTCAAATTCATGTCCATGATCTAAACTTGAGACTTTTTGGTTAGCAATCATTTGCTCTGCCATCCAAAAATGCTGTCTCACAGAACTACATTAAGACAATAAGGAAAATCCAGGTGTAAATGAGAATGAAACAAAAGTTTATGCTAAACAGTTACAAAAATACAACGGTTTTTACACTACATTAATTGAAATGGTTTGGAAACACTCTTAAGAAAAGCACAAAAGTACTATATTAAAAACCATGATTAAAGTGCAAAGCATAAATATTTTCCGATACATTTCAATGTAATTAAAAATGTATATAATCCCTGTTCTATTTTTCAAAATATTATTCAAATGATAGGAAGAATATTCTTTATTTGTTAAACTTTTAGTATTCTCTTTACATGCTTTTTTTTAGCAATAGTTGTTTTTGCATTTTTTTTACTTAGAATTCCCAAGAATCCAAATCTTTTGGACTTAATTTATTTAGAGGCCAGTTTTCAGCAGAACAAGTCTTTCCTTTCCCAGAAGGTTTGTTATATTAAAATGCTTTGGGTATTTCACTCCTTGTGTTATATAAAAGGTTTGTGTGATCACTGCTACCATGACCCATGTGTCATTGTTTAAATGGAGTTATTTATTTAAGACGTCAACAGAATGAGAGGGAGAGTCTGAAAAAGCCAATGTTTCTGAATGTGTGTGGGCTGGTGTTGTGAACACATGGACATGCTTTTACAAGTGACCCATTGCGTGCAACATATAAGAAGAACAACCACAAACAGGTTACAGAACACAAGAATAAATAAAACAAAAGCTTGTTTAACACTAAAAAGAGTTAATCCTATCTACACAATCACATGCTATTCTAATTATTAACACAAACTAGTACACAAAACTACAATACAGTGGCTATATAGAAGTAGACAGAACTAACCTACACTAACCTGGTAGAAGTACTGGACTGAACTATGCGATTAGACATGTTCTCACACACCTCATAATTATATACACGTACAAACCAGAATATGACTGATACAACTCACTGTATAAGGATTGAGCAGGGACAAACAACATTCACCCCCATTTATCCTCTTTTTACATGTTCACTACAGCATTGGGGAGAGTGGGGGGGGGGGGGGTTCTCATGATTGTATCTTCATAGTTGTCTATCATATTGCCTTGAAATTTTAGCTACTCTGCACAGTCAAGGTATGCAAAAAAGGCTTTTTTTAATTTATATGCTGTTACTCTTCTTTCAGAACAAATTGTTTTAATGAAATGTAGAATTCCATAATGTATTGAACACAATTTTATTCTTTAGTTTTAACTGCTGAACAAAAGCAAACTCTGCAGGAGCTGGTTGATCCTTGTGCAAGATTTTTTGAGGTCTGTATTTTAAATTATAAAGTACCTTCTAAATGTCTTAAATACTGAACACCATGTAATTCTAGCAGATAGTAACCAGTATAGACACGCAACTAAAAAAGCCAGGCCCCTTCCTAAAAATAACTGTTGAAAGTTTGATAATGAACTTGTGAATGCTTTAATGTCATTGTTATATAAAAAAAGATCGCTGCAGAGATTTAAAATTTATTTACTTAACACATAGCATTATTAAATATTATTGCACTGCATTTTTTCTTTTGCTAAATGGTGAATTAGATTGCAGTTTATTTATAGGCTTTACAGCAATCATTACAAGGAATGACTCTTTTTGAAAAGAATAAAGTTTAGAAATGTTGTCAAAAATTATCCAAGTCTAATGATTGGGTATCAATTGTGTCTTAGCCAATAAGTAGGCCATTTTTTAAATTTTAAAATTATGCCTACTTACCCATACAAAACTTTTATCATAGCAATTTTTATAATGACTAAGAAGGTTTAAAACAAAAAGTTATGCAAAATAATGTTTTAGTAATATTTTATTTTATTTTGGGTTTTTTAAGGCAGTAGACCTACCAATTATTACCAACTCTTCTGGAAATCCAAATTACTCGACTTAATTGTCTATACACATAAAAAGTTCTTCCATCTAGGAGCACAATGATGCAATGAAAAATGAAGCATTAGAAAAAGTTGAAGATTCCACAATGCAAGGTCTGAGAGAAATGGGTGCTTTTGGTCTGCAAGTGCCCACAGAATTAGGTATAAAAAAAGATAATGTTAACAGAGACAAATGTCTAATGTTTCTTGTTCCTATTATTCAACTGCATGTTTGTCATTGTTTAAAATGTAATTATTTCATTTATACAGGAGGACTCGGATTAACAAACACGCAGTATGCAAGACTTGTTGAAGTTGTTGGTGCCCATGATCTTGGTGTTGGAATCACTTTAGGAGCACATCAGTCTATTGGGTTCAAAGGAATTTTGCTCTTTGGCAGCCAAATACAGAAAGAAAAATATCTACCAGATTTAGCTTCAGGAAATAAAATTGCAGCATTTTGTTTAACAGAATCAACCAGTGGTTCTGATGCTAGTGTGAGGATCAAATTTTCTTTTTAAATTGGAATATGAAAGTACATGAAGAGTATTTTTGTTCTTTTAGGTTAGCCTGTTGCCCCTTCTGGGGACATAGGCTGCTGACAAGAGCTTTCCAGACCTCTTTTCTGGGCTAGTCTCTTCAACTGTCCCCAGGTGTATCCAATCTTCTTGGTGTCTTCTTCCAGGTCATGTCTCCAGGTCTTTCTTGGTCTGCCTCTTTTCCCTTTGCCCTGTGGAATCCAGGTGAGGGCTTATCTTGTTATGCTGGATACAGTCTTCTTGTGTGACCAATCCATTTTCATTTTCTCAGGAGGATCTCTTTTCAGCTGGCAGTTGATTTGTGCATTGCCATAGTACCTCATTTCTGGCCAGTGTATTTGAAGGATCTTGATTACGCTAGCTTTAACTTTAAGGTAGCTACACCACTAGCACAGTGGGTGTCACCATTTTTCTGGTGTCAAACAGTAGAGAGTACAATGGAACAGCAGATCAAACCTGGGGGGGGGGGGGGGGGGGGGGGGGGGGAAGAGAGACTGAGAAAGCTGACAGTAGGAGGATTTTTCTTACATTTCTACATGCTTAAGAACATTAAAGGAAACAATAAACAGTGGGTTTGGTGGGCTATGTATGTAGAAATATTTATGTATGTAAAAGTAATACAAAAACAATAAAGATATTGCACTACAGCTAGAGTAGCTATGATTCACTGTTTATAAAACAAAGTTTAATTTAAAATTCTTAAAAATCACTCAATAGTTTAGAAAAGGTTTATAGCAGAGTGTGGAAGATTTATACAAGCTCTAGCATGTAACAATAAATACAAGTTAAAAACACTATGGAAATCAAGTAATCGGTTTTGACCTAGAGTTGATGGGTTTTTATAGATGACTATAGAGTAATCTATTATACAAAAATCTATACAGTAATCTATTTATACAAAAATGAAAGTATGTCTGTGTGTTTGTCTTTTATGCATTATTACTTCTTTCATCAGATTGCTATTAAACTTTAAGAAGTTGATGAGAATACTCCTGGGAAGGTTTCTGGGAAAAAGCAAGTGCTGTGATCCTCCAGGGTGCGATCTAGGTGCTCAGTGTTCCCCGGCAATTATTTTGGCACCTAAGATGTGTTGATTGGGTGTTTTATATAAGGGGTCAGGAGTACCACTTGATTCAACTGTCAAACTGCTCAGGGTGCATACATTGGCAGTTGGGTGACCCGGAGCACCAGTGCTCCTATGTGAGCATTATGGTGCCAATGTTCATTTTAAAGAATGCCATGCACTAGGGGCAAGGTGGGCTACTACTAATTGTTGACTAAATAGAATTAGGCACGTCTGCCGGTGGTCAAATGACCCTGTGTGCCTCTGCTCCTCCTGGAGTACCATGATGCCTAAATTTGTTTCAAAGAGTGCCATAAACTAGGGACACGATAGGTGACTACATACAATGACTAAACTGAACCAGGGGATGCACCCAGCACCCTTGCAGTACTGTAACTAGTGGTTCCTGAGTGCTCATGGCAACACCGCTGACACCTGGGTGGTAGCATTTGACGTTGTGTCATCCTTTAAGCACGCAGGGGACGCTATTTGATGTATAAATAAATAATTTTACCTAAACTGAAATAATATATGGCCTTTTGCAGTTAACTATGTGTACTGATAGGTGTAATCTTATTGACGACACCAAAAATGTAAGGGTGAGTGGTAAGCGGTCGGTCGTATACCAATAGAGAGCAAACTGCTGCGATAGAGAGAGATGGTTTTTATTCTCTCAAATCCGAGCTTCCTTGTTGGTACAAGGTTTACCAGACCTGAGCAAACTAATTTCTTCACACATAAACATCATTATAAAACTAAAAAAAAAGCTTATTAACACACAGTTCAATACATTTATTTACATTCATTAGACTTTCCATTGGTATATAAATGTTCAATAACATTGAAACAATACATATAAGACATGGCCCTGCTTTTGTATCTAACGAAACATCACTGGAATAGTCAAACTTGCATCTCAATGCAAAAGTATGCACTTTGGCTAAAAAACGTAGATCTATATATATAAGTTTGAGTAGCAAACCTGCATATGGAAACTATTATTTACTTCTTATAGTTTTATCAATTTCTATTCCAGGCCTATACTAATTTGTTTTTTTAAAAACTTTCTAGTCTATTCGAACTAGAGCCGTGCCTACAGAGGATGGTAAACATTATGTTCTAAATGGAAGTAAAATATGGATAAGTAATGGTGGATTGGCTGATGTTTTCACTGTTTTTGCACAGGTAAGAATCAATATTTATAGATTTCTGTTTTATTATTTTACTTTTTAACTTTGAAACTAGGTTATAGTATTTCAGAAATAGCAATGTAGACATAAAAATTATTATTGCAATATCAACTGTAGACACAGTTGCACCATATAGTCCTAGAAAAGTCAGTTGTATCTCTTAACTTAGGATTTGAGAAGTGTTAATTCTATTATGAGAAACACAACAGTGCTAGTGTAAATTTTAAATCACTTTAGTGGTACACGATGTCAACCAGTACATAATTCAACCAGTCGAAGGGTGAGAGACATTTCCCTACCAGGAATAACTTAAGCCTTAATGTGTGCCTTTATTAAGGCTAATTTTAGCTTCATGTACTATTAACTTGAACAACACAACTAGGGAAGGTTTCATCTCATGTTCTTTCATTTAGGTCACTCTGGTCAGATCTAACGGCCCAACGTTATGTTTTCTTAAAATCACGAAAATTACCCTCTATTTTTCACATAAATTGCAATGAGTGTTGTAAAGCGAGTTTCTTGTACAGGGTCGATGCTGAACATGACGAACAATAGAGGACGACGATCCAATAGAGAACACATAACGACGATACGATATTCCATACTTTATTACATCAATACACACAACTACATTGACGACAGACGGAACGACAACTTCTAGACATCCTTACATGACGACGACAAGACGCAGACTGACTTCTAACTATCTTCCTAACAACCAAAACATTTTCTCTCACGTCACATTCTTATTTATTCACGCATTAATAATCTTTTATTAATGCCACTACACACATACTCTCAAACCATCCACAACTTTATTAACCCCGTTCAACCACACACATACTCTCAAACTCATTCCATACACTTAAGTCCATTCACAACGATGAGTAATAGAGAAATATCAGAGGGGGTCGCTCAGCTAATGTTTTTAAAAAAATATATAACTCATATAAGGAGAATTTCACTTGTGGTCAGTTTTTAGCCCTCGTCTTGTGAGTATAGGCTGATAGTTTTTTTATATGGCCAATTCATTTACCCAGGTCTATGGGGAAAAATGAGCTAGATGTTACAGATGAGAAGCGAAGTACCCTAAAATCTATTTGAAAATTACCCTCTGTTTTTCACATAAAATACAATGATTATATAGAGAAATATGACTGGTCAGGTTTGACAGCTTTACCGATTTTTCCCAGATACGACATGTTTTTTCTTGCATCTGTGGACGTTGATCATAAAATTTCAGGAAGGGGGGGTATTCTATCTATTTATCTATATATATATCTATCTATATATATATCTATATATATATATATCTATATATATATATATCTATATCTATCTATATATATATATTTATATATATATCTATATATATATATATATATCTATATCTATATCTATATATATATCTATATATATATATATATATATATATATATATATATCTATATCTATATATATATATATATATATATATATATATATATATATATATATATATATAATTACATATATATATATATCTATATATATATATAATTATATATATATATATATCTATATATATATATAATTATATATATATATATATCTATATATATATATAATTATATATATATCTATAATTATATATATATATATATCTATATATATATATAATTATATATATATCTTCTGGGAGACGGTAGAAAACAAGCTGTAAACGCGCTCCCTACCATCCCCACCCCTACATGGTCTTAGTGAGCTGTAGTTTACGCTATGTTTACCTTCGTGGAGTCGGGTTTAGTGACGGCTATTAGGGGCAGATAATTTAGTTTGAAACGATTTTAAACGTTGGGGGAGGGGGGGGGGAAGGAAGGGGGTTGGTTATGGTCCTTAACGAGCTACTTATAGTGTTTTAAAGAAATATTTTCAGTGTCAGCGTTGGCACTGTCGAATTCACAAATTATGAATTACTGAAAAGTAGAAAAAACAACTTAATAGCGTCATATGTTATGCGGTGGGCCAGCTCGTATTATATATTTATATATATATGTGTGTGTGTTTATGTGTATTGTTATTTTATTGCTGCGGGGTTAAAAAAAAGTCCCAGGATTGTCCTGGCAAATCATACCCTGCCGGGGCACGGTCAGATGCACCTAATTCAGATGAGTGAACATCTATAATATTAATCCATATTCTATCACAATCTTCAAACAAACGTATGCATTATAGATTTACCAGGATAGCCGGGCGCTTGCAAATGTGTGTGATTCAATTTAGTGAATGACTAAATGCCCCTTCTTATTCATAGTCTATCGTACTGTTTAAAACTAACATAGGTGCCATATCGCCCATGGGATAACCCAGGGCGCCTAATCGCACCCTGCCGGGGCACCGCCCGTGAGAAATTGAAATTTTTTTCCACAGAAACCTCCCCAGGAGTATTCTCAACAACTTCCCAAAGTTTCATGGCGATCAGAGCTTTTCAAAGGGTGGGCATAGTAGGATATCCATTTGTGTTATGTAGTGCAGCCAACAGACTGTTTCCATGATGGAAAATGGGTCATCTAGCAATACTAAAAACACAACATAAGTTTTCTATCCAATCTTCCCCTTCGTAATTTTGTATTATATTTTCGTAGACCAATATTATAAACAATAGTTAAAACCCCACTCACACCCCACAAACTATGATAAACACCTTAGGATGTTAGTTTAATTGCAGTCAGGGGCTGAATTATCATGAAGCCAGACCCTGCAATAAGTGTTGAGGAGGGGGCTTTATTTTCTAGTTCTGCTACATTGGTGCATTGAGAATAGAAAAGTTATAGAAGCATTCTAGTGTTACAAGATTTTTATTTAGCTAAGACATAAACCATTTGATATAGCAAAATTAACAAAAAATTTAAAAATTTAAAACCTCAAATACTATGTAGTTGGTAGATCTAGTGTAAACACTGTCATTCTCAAATAAACATGTAATAACAATGTAGTAACTTGATCATCTTCTTGTACTAATTTCCTTTAATGCACAAATAAAGATGTAAATAATTAACAACATATATAAACTAACATTTCAATGCACCCATTTGTCACCAATAGAGGCTTTGGGAATTCATGCTACAAAAAATAGTTTTGTTTTACATAATCAAAATCTGAGTACATTCAAAATTACGCCATTTAAGTGTTTATACCAGAAGTCAATATTTCATAAAACATCAATTTCTTTTTTACAAGCTTTTATTTAACTTGCTTCCTCTGTCTGTCAGTCTTTCTATCTGCCTTTCTATCTGTCTGTCATCATGGATCAAAACTCCCAAGCGCAATTTCTAGCACTTCAAACTTTAATAATTAATTAGTTTAAAAATTAGATATTCTTGCATTGTCACCAGAAACAAATGTATCTGGAAAGTTTGAACAAATTCAGTGGGACAAAATCAATTTACAAGGTTTGCCACATCTGACAAACTAACACAAAAAAACAGGAAATCGTGAACTAAATAAAATCTAAAAATTATTAACATAATGAAAAATATAATATTTATGCAACTCTAGACCACATAAAACATGGGTTCCCAACCTGGGGGTCGCGACCCCCCTGGGGGTCGCGAAGGTCTTTCTGGGGGGTCGCCAACTGGTATACTAGTAATTTGAAACAAAACATAAATATTTAAAATAATTTTTGAAATTCGGCTTCATTAACATCACTGGAAATGTAATAGAGACATGGAGAAGAAACAAAGCGCACTGTACAAAGTTGTTCTCAGTCACGAATCTATGAAATCTTCAAAACTAAAACGCCATTTGAGACAAGTCATTCGGAACACATAAAAAAAAATATATGTAGTTCTTTCGCCGGTAAGAAGCTAGATCTAGATCTAGTTGCAAACGCCAGAGACTTGATCGAACAGGAAGTTTTCACCAGCATTAGTGCAAGCATCAAATGAAGTCGCGATAGAAAATGCCAAGGAAAAAAAAATAGGAGAAAATCTCATCAAACGCTGCATGTACATAAATGTTAAATAACACATTTTTATCGAAATTAAGCTTTCACCATTGTTTGCTTTTTAAAAGTTGATAAATCAACAGACGTGAGTTCGTGTTCGCAGTTGCTGGTCTGTGTCTATATTCATGCGGATGATAGCAAAGAAGAGTTGCTCTTTTGTGAAGATAGCATGGAGAAAATAAATATCCTTTTTTGAAACTGGATGATTAAAATGGGTTAGAACGGCTGTGGGGGTTTGTACGGATGGTGCGCCATCTATTTTTAACTCAAAATCGGACTTTCAGAAAACAGAAAAGATGTAGCTCCCTAACCACTGCCCTAACCAATCGACATCAAGAGTCCATTGCTAGTATAAGTCGTAAATTATATAAAATCTGGAGCCTTCAAAGAACTGAGCAAAAACATTAATATAGATCACGAGGTTCTGCTCTTCTACACTACAGTACGCTGGCTGTCAAACGAAATGTTATAAATTGTGTTTTTGAATTGAAATCTGAAATCAAATAGTTCTTGGAAGTGCAAAGGAAACAAGACTTTTTGGTATAATTAAAACGACATAGAGTGGTTGGAGTGAGTATCATACCTAGCAGATATGTTCGAACATCAAGATAAGCCCTGAAGCTTCAGTGAAAATGAACGAATATTATAACTTTTCATGATAATCTCGGGGCATTTTTATCAAAGCTGCAAAATCGGTAAAGAAAATAAATCTTGGAAATATTGTAAATTTAAGAAACTCTGCGGTGTGGTAGATGAATCTGATTGTGAGATAATTAAAATTTTGAAAGAAGCGATTTCTGGGCATCTTGAATCTCTTAAAAACGAACTGCATCGCTATTTCTCTGAGCTGAAAAAAGAAGAATCTGCATTTACGCATTACCCATTCTCTTCTTCCCTTGATGTTGCCAGCATTGCCGATAAATAACAAGATGAATTCTTTGATTTGCAGAATGATTCCGAGTAAGATGAAAAACTGCAGACACAATTTTGGTGTGGTATTCACCATTCATACCCAAACGTAAAATTGATTGACTTTTCGAGAATATATTTTCAACACTATTCTTCGATTAAAAACAAAATTAAGATAATTATAATGACATTGGTTGGCGTTAGCAAAATTTTTAAAAATTAAAAACTTAACCAAAAAGGTTTAGTGAATAGTATTCAATTTTACTCATGCTATTAAAATAGTTATCTAGAGTAGTTCATATTGAAAGTCTACTTGGAAATCTTATTTTAGTGCTTATTAATTTTATACTAATTTCGGCTTTTTAATTCTTTGGGGGTCGCGGGTCACTTACTTTTTATAAAAGGGGGTCGCCACTCGAAAAAGGTTGGGAACCACTGACATAAAACATTGGTATTTATGTCTTTTATGTTTTTAATATTTTTTGTATTGCAGTGTCCTGTTCAAGATTCAAAAACAGGAGAAACTAAAGACAAAGTTACAGCTTTCATAGTGGAAAGAGATTTTGGTGGAGTTACAAGGTATAGTTGCTAATAATGGTATATTTTCAAAAGTATCTGTTAATAAATTATGTAATTTAACAATACTTTGTGTAATGTGATATATCAAATACAGAAAATGGAGTAAACGTTTGAACTAATAATCCACAACCCAAGCACTAACATTGACTTTAGCCATTTTCAGTTGTTTAAAGTTTTTTGCAAGATACTGGATTGTCTTGCACATCATAAAATGTATTTTTAGATAATGTGATATTTTAATCCATTTTTTTTAATGCATTATTCAAGAATTTTGTATCAAACTAGCGTACCCGACCCCCGCGCGTTGCCACGGGGATAGAAGAAAGTTTGACGGAATGTATTAGAAGGATTTCACCAACGCGTTACCAATCATATGTTCTTACACGGGTGACCTTCTTTTCTAAAAATGAGTTATTTAAATGTTAACAATGCCTGTGCTTGGATCATAAATATCAGGACACGTTATTACCTACACTACCCCATGAAAACCTTGAGTGTACATTAATCACTCACCGAAATAATATGGTAGAACACACTTCGGTGACCGCCCATGTGTCAGAGACGTAGAGGCCCGCTCTCAGGGGGCCCCCTCCCCCAATTACACTACCCCTGGCTCCTTAAAATAGCATCCTGTTAACAATGATACAGATTGCGGCATTCACTAAAGTGACACAAATGAACAGGATTTGCTATTTAACACGTAAAAAAAATTATTTGACGCGTTTTAAACATCAGTGTGACTGATGCAATATGTTAGCTTTACTAATGGTCTATTCTTAGATGCTCGATCTCAATTTCTGTTTGGATTATCTAAAAGTGACGAAACTGTTTGGATTTTTTTACGGACGAAAAGAAACATCCCAGTTAATAATCTAACCTTGGTTAATTTTTCTGATTATTAAAATAAAACGTATTACATGACCCACAGCGGCCCATGTGAGCCTTTGGGGGCCGAAACAGACATTTTATTTGCAGCCTAATCGCACCCGCCAGAGGACACGCCTGATTCAATTTAGTAAGCGTTTGTAACGCCCCATCCTACCCATTGTCTATCACACTGTTTAGACCGAACGCATTCACCATATCGCTCACGGGAAAGACCAGGGCGCCAAATCGCATCCTGCCGGGGGGGGCGCCCATGCAAAATTAAATCCACCGTCCCCACCACCCACCCGCCCCTATTCCCCCCTCCCACCCCAGAAATCTTCTCGGGAGTATTCATCAACTCACTAAAGTTTTATGGCCCCGGGATAAATTGCATCAAACTGCAATCGTCTTTTTTTTTTTTTATATACTGTATTTTGAGAAAAATCCCACCATTCCGTGGCGCCGCCCTTGCGAATTTTAAAAATGATTTTTTTACAGAACCCTTCCCTGGTGTATTCTAATCAAGTCCCTAAAGTTTGATGGCTATCGGATGAACGTTGTGAGACTGCAATCGACTTTTATTTTTATATACAATATATATAGAGAAAACAAATTGCGCCCTGCCAGGGCGCCAACCCTGCAAATTTGAAAATGTTTTTAGCGCAGAAACCTCCCCAGGAATATTCTCAAGATCCTCCCAAAGTTTCATGGCGATCGTGTGAAAGGTGTCACTGCAATTCACTTTTATTATTTTTATATACTGTATATAGAGAAAAAACACACACTCACAGGGCGCCGACCTTGCGAAATTAAAAATGATTTTTTTTTTTTACAAAACCCTTTCCCAGAGTGTCCCAATCAACTCCCCCAAAGTCTCATGGCTGTCGGATAACGGTGTCAAACCAAAATCGACTTTTATTTTTATATACCATATATAGAGAAAAATCGCACCCCCCTGTGGCGCCACCCTTGCGAAATTAAAAATGATTTTTTACTGAACCCTTCCCTAGAGTTTTAGGATGAACTTCCCAAAGTTTAATGTCTATCAGATGAACGGTGTCACTGCAATTCACTTTTATTATTTTTATATACCATATATAGAGGAAAATCGCGGTAACACGCAGGGATAGAAGAAAGTCTGACGAAATATATGAGGAGGGTTTCATCAATGATTTGCCAGTCCTATGTTCTTAGAATCGTGACCTTATTTTCTAAAACTAAGTTATTTAAATGTTAACATGCCTGAGCTTGGATCATAATTATTGGGACACGAGTTTACCTACACTACCTCATGAAAACCTTGAGTGTACATTAATCACTTAGCAAATTAATGAGGTACAACACATTTCGGTGACCACCCATGTGTCAAGGACGTAGACGGGCGCTCTGGCTACTTAAAACTAACATGGGCGCCATCATGCTCATAGAGTAACCTAGAGTGCCTAATAGCATCCCAGTTAATAATCTAACCTTGGTTAATTTTTCTGATTATTAAAATAAAACTTATTATTGGGCCCTCAGCGGACCAAATTAGCCTTTGAAGGCAGAAACTAAATTTTTTGTTCACAGCCAAATCGCACCCTACCAGGGCGCCTGCGGACATCCCTGATTTAATTTAGTGAGCGACTGTAACAGCCCATCGTATCCATTGTCTATCACACTGTTTAGACCCAACGTAGTCGCCGTAGCGCTCACTGGAAAGAACAAGGTGCCAAATCACATCCTGCCGAGGACTGCCTATGCGAAATTAAATCCCCCCCCCCCAGAAACCTCCTCGGGAGTATTGATCAACTCCCTAAAGTTTTATAGCACTCAGATAAATGGTGTCGAACCGTATCCAACTTTAATTTTTTTTTATATATATCCTATTTAGAGAAGAATCGCATCCTCCCGGGATGGAGCTGTTGCAAAATTAAAAATTATTTTTTGCATAAACATCTCCTATGGTGTTTTAATTAACTCCCCAAAGTTTGATAGTGATCAGATGTACGGTGTGAAACCGCAATCGACTTTTATTTTTATATACCTTATATAGAAAAATCGCATCCTCCTGGGGTGACACCCTTGCGAAATTAAAAAATATGTATTTACAGAAACGTCACCTGGGGTGTTCTAATCAACTCTCCAAAGTTTCATGGCAATCGAATGAACGGTGTCAAACCGCAATCGACTTTTATTTTTATATATACTTATATTTAGATAAATCCCACCCTCCCGTGGCGCCGCCCTTGCAAAATTAAAAGATTTTTTTGAAGAACCCTTCCCTGCAGTGATTAAGTCAACTCCCCAAAGTTTCATTGCGATCGGATGAATGGTATCAAACCGTAATCGACTTTTTTTTAATATACTGCCGTTGCAAAATTTAAAAAAGAATTATTTTTTTAGAAACCTCATCTGGAGAGTTCTAATGAACTCCCAAAAGATTGATGCCGATCGGATGAACGGTGTGAAACCGCAATCTGCCCATTTTTAAAAAAATACTATATAAAGAGAGAAAACAAATCGCGCTCTACCAGGGCGCCACCCCTGTGAATTCAAAATTTTTTGTGTGCATAGAAACCTCACCAGGAGTATTTTCAACAACTTCTTAAAGTTTCATGGCGATGGGATGATAGGTGTAGTAATGCATAAAAGATACACACACACACACACAGACATACATTGCTTTATATATATATAGACTAGGCATACTGCCTACCTTTGCTTACATTTTTAAAAAAACATTTGCCTAAAATTGTACCCTTTATTAATATAATGTGTAATAATTAAACAAATACAAAAGTTAGCACTATTGCTAATTCAATACCAACATTTTATACATAAAATTAAAATGTTAGTAGATTGCCTTCTTTTTCCCTTGTCTGATTTAATGTCAGTGTGATAGCTTAGTCTAAAGAGAGAGGTGGGGGGAGTGGTGGGAGGTTTAGTGCAAAGCCTGCTTGTAGAATTTTTTCATTTTAAATCAGGGATCCAAGTCTGTAAGACATACCTGAACTCACCCACCCAATGGGTGCATAAATCCAAGGTGACATGTCATAGAACTTAAACTATACTTCATCTACCCTATGGACAGTTTTTAATTTAATATCTCATCTAACAGAGTAAAACCAATTAAGTAAATAAAAATTTAGGCATAACCTATAAAAAATGTATTAAATTTTTTGTTACATACTTAAGAGTTGCACATATGTTAAAGCATGTTGATTTTAATTAATACTATAGTTTTAGTTTTAAATTATTTTTAAAATAAAATGCATCAGATATGTAATTACATCATCAGTTTGCATTGCCTGCTTGCTCTCTTTAGTATTACATTCTTCATCATTGACTGGTGACAATTGACACAGATATAAAATAGTAATGCAGTAGGCCTATTTTTTTTCAGACATATACTTTCATTCACTAAGAATGGTTTATTTATACTTATTACAGTTACTGAGGTCCATGGAAAAATTAGCTAAATGTATGGAGCCTTTAGTACTCTAAAGATAGTTTTGAAAATGTGCCTCATTTTTCATCAAATTTACAATGTTTAAATAAAAAATTCGGATTGGTCAGTTTTAATGGTCTTCCAAAGTTTTCCTCAAAGACAATACAGTGTTTTTTCCTGACCCTTGCGTGTTGTTCCACATTCTCCAGAATTATCAGGGAGCTTTGAAATGGGAATTTTTTAATTCAGTTTATTCAAAGTATAGAGAAAGTCTTGCCTCAATTACCGAGGTGCATGCATGTAAGAAGCCAGATGTACAGAGGGTAAAAACCATAAAATCTTTTTGAAAATGACCCTCTGTATTTCACATGAATTACAAATATTAAATAGGGAAGTACAACTGATCAGCTTTGACCCCTTTATTGATTTTTCAAAGATACGCCATGTTTCTTTTGTTTGACCCCTGGGGGTCGATGTGCAACCTCAGGAATTAACAAACGGTTTCTATGTGTGAAGTATTTTTTATAGCTCATATAAGGCGCTGTACAGTCGAGGTCAGTTTTAATCCCTCTTTAAATGCCGATCGGCATTTAACTCTGTATTCTATTCGCCCAAGGCAAGAGCCTGCCAAATTTAAGCACCTGCTGCGCCAAGTGTCCTGACCGGCATCTATTTGGTATAAATTTAAAGGAATATATCCTTTACCCACATGCTTTTATCATTTGTTTTTGTGTGTTGTCAAAGAACTAAGGGAATTGATATTTTAAATTCCTGACACTTTTATATATCCCTTTAAATAGGTAAACTTGTCAATATTTTTTAATTTACACTCCTATTTGAAAACTGTTTAAAGAAACTTTTACTTTTATTCAAAAGTTTTTTCCCCTAGTTTTGTTTGTGTACCCAAAGAACGTGGGAAATTAAAACTTTAAATTTCTGCCGTAGTAACGCCTCTTTAATAGTTAAAATTTAGTTGACTTTTCTGAGGATCTGGTATTTTTGTGGTGACTTCGGCACCAGAGATATCTCCTTAACAAATAGCAAGTGTATGTTGCATCTACAAGCTGTCTGTCTAGTTCAAGCACTTTGAAAAATTTATGGTTATATTAGGCCATGGTCAGTCTAGGTCAGTTTTTGGTCACTTTAGACTTGATTATTGAGATTGCTATGTTTTTCTGTAAGGTTGAGGTTGAATATTGCTTTTTGGTAAGAATCATATTTTGTGAAATTTTTGCACTAAAACATAATTTAATTGATTTGAGGAACAGTGTGACAGACACCCCCCACTTTACTTTTGTAGTTAAAAAAATCCTTGCAATGACAACTACATTTTAAAAATTGCATTATTTTTAGATTATTTTATTTTAATTTTCAGCGGACCACCGGAGAAAAAAATGGGTATAAAGGCTTCCAATACAGCAGAGCTTTATTTTGAGGATGTTAAAATTCCCTCTGAAAATGTCCTTGGTGGTAAGTATTTTTTCTGTAGGCTTTAATCTCTTTTTAACTTTAAAGTGTATAAACTGCATTGATTGCACTTTTGGTAATTCACATAATTTCAAGAATTGTTGTTGTAACCTATATATGAATAAACATCTGATTGAGTTTGCTTGACTCTATATTTCAACATATTTCTGTGAGGCATAGAGATTACCTTGTGAATATATAATTCATAAGTTGAAATATGTTACAAAGTATTTATTTATATTTTGTTTTATACTGCTATTTTTACCTAAAATGTTTTTTTCAAAACATTCAAAATGAGAGTTTATTTTGAATTTTCATCATGAATTATTGGAAGTAAGTGTACAGTTTTAAAAATATCTATTATATTAAAAAAAGATAACTGTGGGTTTCGGTGGACATCTATAAATGTTGTCACCTTTGTTTGATGATTTTTATTTTTCCCCTCCCCACTGTCACACATCATCACAAAAAGCCAGACCCCACAATTGAAAAGACGTCGCACCTCAGCACACATGTTTTTGTCTTTTTAAAAGCACCGATTTTGGCTGAGCATGGGTCTGACCATACTATCCTATAAATTCTGAAGTCACAGAAACAGGTGAACTCTACTTCACCTGCCCCATGTCCAGTGAAGTCCGAAAAGCAACATTCACATCTAATAAGTCACACCTCAGATTACATTTCTTGTCTTTTCAAAACATAGATTTCTTTTTATATTTTCTTAGCAAATGAATAAAATTATTAAAGTATAATGTCAAACTAATAATAATGAATTAGAACCAATCTTTTGGGTTGTGATTTTCCACTGTGCATTTATTATATGGGGAAAAAAATGTAATACTGACATGATTTGTTTCTAACCAATATCACCTATAGGGTCACTATTGTACTGTCAACACGGCAGGCTATTTATATACCACTGAGTGAAAAATATTTCCTATTATTTTGTAGACTCTCCAAGACCACTCTTTCCTTTAAGCAAAATTACGCTGAATATTATTTTAAATCGTAGATTATGGATGATATAACATAAATATCTAATTTTTGCTCTAATCAAAAAGACAATTATTCATTTCAATTTAATTTAAAAACTAAGAATCCTAATATATAAAAGCCCATGTGCGCAATCTCTCTCTCTCTCTCTCTCTCTCTCTCTCTCTTTCTCTTTCTCTTTCTCTCTTTCTCTTTCTCTTTCTCTCTCTCTTTCTCTCTCTCTCTCTCTCACTCTCTCTCTCTCTCTCTCTCTCTCTCTCTCTCTCTCTCTCTTTCTCTCTCTCTCTGTCCGCAAAATATTTTTGCAGGATATCACATCAGAATCTTCAGCGATATATTATATGGAGAACTTGATACAGACTTTTGTAAAAAATAATATGGTAGATGTTTTAAGTGTATTAACAAAATTTTATTTAAAAAAATAAAAAATAAATAAAGGCATATTCAAATGTAGAAAAACAATTTTAATTATTCAACCGGAAAAGTGTTTATAGTTATGACAAGAACGCGATTTTCCATGGCGTCAGTAATGTTTACCCTAAGGAAAGTAGACTAAACTAATGACGTCATCTTCCGATTTTAGAATATAAAGAAAGGAACTATTTCATTCAACTTTGATTTAGATCTACGTACGCTATGAAATCTAGATCTATACAGTACAATTTTTTCTTGGCCTAAACTTATAAAGTTTACTTTATCTATTTAGTCTAGATCTAGATCTAGAGATTCTAGATCTAGACTAGATCTAGATTATGATCTACGCAAAAACTAGACATAGACGCTAAGATCTAGATTTAGACTCTATCTACTCTAGAATCTATTCCAATAATTAATTTCTATATTAAACTATTCAGACCTTAATTATTTTATAGAAATATTTGTTTGTTTAGCTATGGAATTGGCTAATTTGGGATACAATTTTTGAAAGACTAGGCCTATGCACATGAGTTAAGTTTATTAACTACGTCTTTTATTCTTCATCAATTAGAACATGTCTAAATAGCTGAGATGATAGTGTCCTTGATACCATGCAGGCGGTACGGGTTCGATACACAATAACTCTAATTGATTTTTCTTTTTTCAATTTTTTTTTTTATATGCGAATCTTCCGATTTTAGAATATAAAGAAAGGAACTATTTCATTCAAATTTGATCTATAGATCTACTTATCAAGACATACGCTATGAAATATATACAATTTTATCAGTCAAACTAATACAAATTACTTTTAAAAAATAACAAAATGACCATTGAATAGCCAGGTTTTTAATAGCCACGGTATATCTTATTTAAATGTACCAACTGAGGAACAGAACAAAAGTAAACACAACACAAACGAACGCAAAAAAAAAAACACAAACGAAAAAACAAACACAACACTCATAACACAAACACCATTTAAATGCAATCATAAAGGCATATTGCTCACAGTCTAGCCCGTAGCGCCAAATTGAGCCCTTTCCGAGCGCCGGCGGACGCGTCTGACACAGTGAATGACTATAAAACAGAGGCGTAGCGACCCTTTCCTGCGCCCAGGAACAAAATTTCGATTTGACCCTCCCTCAAACTTACGACCTGCACCCCCTCCCCTCAAAATTTCAATTTCCACCCCACCCCACTAAACTTTCGATTTGCTTGTACACCCCTTCAAACTTTCGATTTGCACCCCCCCCCCCTGCACTAAAACTTTCGATTATCAATCCATGCTAATTATAATTTTCTAACAATAATTTCCTCTTCCACATCCGCACAATTTGCATTCACATTTTGCCAATTATATTATTGCAACACTAATTCCGTAGATTTGCATTCGCCTTTTTTTTATTAGCGTGAGTTTAATTTATTTTTAAATTACCTTCCTTGTCAGAATTAGAAAAAAGAGTTAAATTAATTTGATTTTTCTACCCTACTGTTATTATGTTATTAAAATGTATCCACTTTTTCTGGGAATTATACGAAAATGATATTTGACATTAATCTTTTTAATATGTTTTAGCAGTGTGCTTGTATTTAATATTTTCTTGACATTATGCGAAAGAGTAAAAACAGTGGCATTTATAAAATAACCTTATGTCGTTATATAAACAAACCCTACTCTATTACTTATGGTAAGCCGCTGCAATGCACTGAAAAGCTCTGCATGGTGCGATGTTTACTTTAATGGTTCCTAAAGCTATAGTGATGATGGAAGGACTGACACAGCCCCTATTATATATATATTATATATATATATATATACATATATATATATAACATAAGGCTGCTGGTTGTGTGTCATTCCGACATGGCTATGAAATCTAAAAACTTAAAAGTAAACAATATATGCCTTGCATTGCTTGCATTTCATTGTCTTATCACAATTAAAAGAATAATAGGATCTATTTATATAACACCTAAAAAAATGTTTGATAGTTGGCAAAGTTTTTGTTCTTTTGCATACATTGAAAAAAGAACATGAAAAAAATATTAAATACAAGCACATTGCTAAAACATGTTAAAATCAATGTCGAATAATATTTTGACTTAGATTTCTAGAAAAAAAAATTGATACATTTTAATAACAGTAGAGTAAGTAAAACTAATTACTTAAAATTTGTTAATGTTCATGTGAGGTGATTCAATTTAAAAAAAAATTCAACTTAGCTAAATATTACTATTAAAGTCTATATTTGTTATGATATACAGGATGGTTGAATTAGATTTAAGTGTATGAATAAAATTAAAGAACTTATTTGTTTGCTGCAGGGGATATATTTTTTTCTCCCTGGCAGCAGAAAACACGTTTGTCTGCAGTTTACATTGCACCACTGGGAAGGAGAGAAGGGAAATCTGGGCGGACATCTGTTGATACGATATTATATTTACCTGTGAGATTGTCAGATTATACATAAGAGAGGGTTATGATCAATTTAACAGAGTTACGGTTTTGGTTGCTTATACCACAGCCATTTGGATTATATAGTGATTTAAGAGGCTTTGTGTATGAAGATATTGCTTTTGATGAAGTGGTTAAAGTAAATCTAAATGGAGCATGTTGGTGTGGGGTTTTGTCTACTCTGTGCGTGAGCTGAATGTGTGTTTTGGGTTGGGGGTAATAAGAAGTGGTGTAAGATGAATGATTGTGTGTGGATTTTGGGGTAAGTGGATGCTGTGTTGCTTGCGGATTGTGGTATTAGGTGGTGTGGCTAGGAGAATGAAGTGTGGTGGTTCGTGGTTTGAGTTAGGTGTGGATTTTCTTCGGATTGGTGTCAGTGAGGTTGATGTTATGGTAGTCGGTTTTATCTAATGTTATGAACTCCCATTAATTTCTGTCTCTCTTAGACGGCTAATTTTGCATGTTGGAAAATTCAGTCACTGTTATTCTTTTGCATGTGTTGTGTGATGGAGTGAATGGTGTTTGTGGTGTGTAGAAAGTGATGTGTATGTGTGAGACCAAGGATCACATGAATTTCAGATTGAGGCAGTTATCAGCAGAATGTTTGTTTCTGTAAGGTTATGTTTTTACAAGTATTATTTTTTTTTTACAACATTTACCTCATTATTAATTTCTTTTTGTGCAATTAAAATCTAGTAGTTATGATAAAGCTTATCCAGTGGAGTGTCTTTTGGTGTGGATCGGTGTAGGGGCGGGATATAAGGTGTGATATTGGGGTTGGGGTGTGTGGTATGGTTTGGTATGGTGTGTAATTTGTGGTTAAAAAAACACATCTTAGTTTGCGAGGGATGAGCAGATTTTAGTAACTTTCTTAGGGGATGATCTGGTCTAGATATGAGTTCACCACCCAACCAAACTCTTCTCCCCATATTAAATCCAGGTGATGCAATGCATATGAAAAGAAATAACTAAACCCAAAATCCTGGTGGAAGCTGTGTCATGGATGTGAGAAAAAGCTCACTTCTTTATCCAATATTTGAGGTTTAATATGACGTGCAGACTTCAGTGCCGGGGCAATTTTCTCTCTTACTTATAGACTGTCTGTATTCATCTTTTTATTCATTATTTATCATCCTTTTGAGTTTTGTACACCCAGTAATAACTACCTCTTTACCTCTTTTTAACCTTTCCTCTTCACAAATCTGTAAAAAAAAAACTAGATCATAATAAAACTCAATAAAAACCTTCCAATTAAACATTATATGGAGTAAAAACTAATTTAAAAAAATTTATTTAAGGTATTGGTGGAGGATTTAAAGTGGCTATGAATATTTTAAATAATGGACGGTTTGGCATGGCAGCAGCACTGTCTGGCACTATGAGGTTTTGCATTAAAAAAGCTGTAAGTAAAAAAAAGCTTTAACTTGAAATGTAAAATTGAAGATATCTTTTTTTTAAAATAATTTTAAAGCAAATCTACAATTAAAGCATTTAGTTAAAATTGTCTTGTTTTAGGTTGACCATGCTGCAAGTAGAAGCCAGTTTGGTAGGAAAATAGAATCGTATGGTGCTATCCAAGAGAAAATATCAAGAATGACTACTATGCAATATGTCGCAGAGGTAGATAAAAATGTATCTATAACAGGGGTCAGCAACCTGCGGCTCGCAAGTTCATGCACAATTATTGATAATTACATTATTTCATTTTCAAAACTCATAAAAAATATTAAACTGTAAAGAAAAACAACTTTAAACAGGATTAAAACACTCAACAGAGAACAGTGAGAATAGGTGCCGTAGAAAGTATACAGACAGCTGACAGCCGCTTTGGCACCAGTGCCAGCCCCGTGGCAAAAACTCCATGTTTGCCACTGCCAAAGGGCCAACTTTTTCGAATATCTTTAAATGGGGAATGTTATTTTATTCAGAATGCATTCTTCTACCTGTCAGTGACGAAGTATTTTAGTTATTGGTTTCCTACGGTTGAGCCAGGTACTGGACTGTGAGGTGCAAGTGGGGTCGAAGATAAGCCGTGTGAGAACTGAAGGACAGAAGCGACAGATACACAGTAATCAAACCGATACTCAAGCCAAGTAGTCGGAGTTTGTTGAGGCCTGCCTGGCTATGGGAGACACCTGAGCCAGTGATGTCCGTAAAGGAAGAAAAAAGTTATTGGCTTCTAAAGTGGATTGAGATTGTTGTATAGTCATATTATTTGTTTACTAATTTTATCATAGCAGAGTTAGCTAAAACACTTTTTTGTGCGAAACATTTCTATTTTATATGAATCAATATTAGTTCATATTTAACGCTATTTATTTCAAATAAAAAATTAAATTTATTTACGCAATCCTTATCAAATAACAAAATATTTTAAAAAAATAATATTACTGGCTCTTTAAAAACTGGGAAATTTTGTAAATTGTAACTTTTGGCTCGTCTGCCTCAAAAGGTTGCCGACCCCTGATCTATAATATAAGCAGCCGGTCATTCTTTCCGTCAGTCAGTCATGGCTGTTGATTCTAGAACCATAAAAATAAACATCAACACATGCCATGCATTTTTCTTGCATCACATTGTCTTAAGTATATGTGTAAGGTTTATTGATATATCGACTTAAATTTTTTTTATAGTTACCACAGTTTCACACTTTCACATTACGTGAAGAAAATTTTAAGTACACACACTTTGCTAAAACACATTAAACGGATCAATGTCAAATAATATTATCGCTTAGAAAAAATGGAAACTATTTAACAACAGAAGGGTAAAAAAAAGTAATTACTTAAAATGTTTAATAATTATATCAGGGGAGGTAATTTTTAAAAATGCAAATAACGCTAATAAAAAAAATGTGAATGCAAATTCTGTGTACGTCCAAGAGGGCATTATTGTTGGAATAGTATAATTAGCATGGATTGGAAAAGTGTCATATGGTAGATACAACACTAATATTTTAAATACTGCCTTTTATTTATTTTATACGCTGAATGTACTGTTTACTAATTATTATTTTTAATCAATACCAGTTTAAAAGCCGCTCCTAAATGTCCTGTATGTATCATTCTATCTTTCGGTTTGCGGACAAGCTGGAGTTTTAATAGTCGTTGACTAAATTGAACAGGTGCGGCCACTGGCGCCCCAGCAGGGTTCGATTTTGCGCAATGGGCTATCCTGTGTGTGCTATGGGTTAGGGTTGGGATTAGTCCCGGGCTAGACTGTGAGCAATATGCTATTATGTTTGCACTTAAGTTTGTGTTTATGCAATGCATTGTTTTTTGTGTTTAGGTTTGTGATTGTGTTTAAGTGTTGCGCTTGTGTGAGCGTTTGTGATTGATTTTTAATTGTGTTTGTTTGCATTGTGTTTGTGTTTTCTGTTTAGTTTGTGTTTGTATTTTTGTTTGTGTTTTTTTGTGTTTGCATTATGTTTGCTGTTGTGTTTATGTTTTGTTTGTGTTTGCATTGTGTTTGTGTTTTTGTGTGTGTTTTGTTCTGTTCCATAGTTGGTGTATTAAAAAAGATTCCCTGTGGTTTTTTTTGTAAAAAAAATAGGTGATCGTACTCAGTGATGGATTGCCTAACTTTTAACTACCAGTTAGCGTTTTATATTTTAATTCTTATTGCCCGCTTTTAAAATAAAAATTCAATTTTTAACAAATAAATAATATAATAAATTAATAAGAAACTTTAAAATACAAGGAAACTAATAATTTTTCCCCACATTGAAAAAGGTGCCAGTACGGCTGGCTATTTCGTTTAAAGAAATCAGAACGCCTGAACGGATTGGGTTCATTTATACCACACTGTTGTATTCTACACTTGGAAGTGCTTGTGCACACTTTATGGCTAAATTCAATTAAATTTAAAATTGTTTTTCATTTTTCAAATATTTCCACCATTTATAGGTCTTTATAATTTAAGTATTTAGCACTTCGTTAGTTTCTTATTTTTAGACTTCTGTATTTTCCTATTTAGTATTTATTTAACATTCTGAAATAAAAACAGGTATGAAGATATAATAGAATAACATTAGATATTTTCATAATTTAAATTAATAGATATTATATCATTTACGCCATTTTAGTTCTTCTTAATTTAAGTTTTATATGGTGCGCTACATTGCAGGAGCAATTTACTCTCTTATTTATAGATTGTTTGTATTTATCATTTTAGTCTTTATTTATCATTCTGAATAATAAAAATTGCGTTGGGGATATAATTAAATTAAAATGCTGCTATAATTGTAAAACAAGTTTTACTTTTATTTTTTTATTTAAAAGCTCAATACAATTGCAATTTTTACTAATTATTTTTTAGCAGACTTTTTTCTTCGGGGGGGGGGGAGACTCTGGTAAAAGTATATATTTTCTACATAAATTTCCATTTAGTTCGAAACAAATGCCTTGGCTTAGCTCTAATGATTACCTCATTTAAGTGGATAAAAGTATAGGTGGTTGGGTATCGAATTGACACTGCTATTCACATTGCATGCTGAAGCTACATAAAATGATGGTCCTACATTTTATTTAGCTAATAATAATTTTAAAATATAAAATTCAGTTAGAAATTTATAAAGTTTTGTTTTATAAAATTTTGTTTTGAAAAAAATAAACAATTACATTTTTTAAAACTTTGGTAGAAATTTCATATAGACAAGTTGTTTCATTGCTCAGTTACAGGACAGTTGTTGCCTATTTAGTAGTAATTAGAAGTTTTCCATAAATGACACTGCGTTTTACTCCAGATATTTAACGATTAGGCCTTTGTTTATCAATTTAGTTGAAAAGTGTTGTTTAAAATTGTCATTTTTTTAAAGAATGGAATAACCATTTTCAGTCAATGGCATACATGATTTCTGCTAACATGGACCAAGGATCACATGAATTTCAGATTGAGGCAGCTATCAGCAAAATCTTTGCTTCTGTAAGGTTATGTTTTTACAAATATTTTTGTTTTTTACTAATTGTGAAACATTTACTTTATTATTAATTTCTTTTTGTGCAGTTAAAATCAAGTAATTATAAAGGTTGTTATACTTATTTTGTTTCTCTTATACCTCATGGTTTAGATTTAGATCTAGTTATTTCAATAATTAATGTTTTTCTGATCCATTTTTTAAAATTATAATATAGATTTATGATCTTGAAAGCTGGAGTTAAGTGTAATTTAAAGTAATGTTTTGAAACTACTAGGAAGCAGCTTGGTTTTGTGCAGATGAAGCTATTCAAGTTCTTGGAGGAATGGGTTACATGAAGGTAGTTATTGAAAAAAATTCAGATTTGTGATGTGTGTGTGGTGGGCCTGTAAATAAAATAGCAAATGTGTAACAACATGGTATATGACTGAAAAGTTCTTAATATCTCATAGTAACTGTCTTTGTTTAATAAGTAGCTTATTACCTGAATATAGATTACAATTGTAAATTGAACCAAAGATGAGTTAACTTCAATGAGATAACAAAAGACAATGTATTATCAAATTTCTAAAATCAGGATTGTGGCCTTGAAAAAGTCTTACGAGATTTGAGAATTTTTCGTATTTTTGAGGGTACAAATGACATTCTAAGATTGTTCATTTCACTCACAGGAATTCAGGTAATGATAATTTTCAATATAATTTATTTATAAATAATTAAATTTGAAAAAATTGATTAACTTTAGAAAATTGCTGTATAATAGTTGATTTAGTAGTTAGAAGTTTTTGCAGCAGTTTATATTTACCTGCTTACTTCAGTTAACAAATGTATCCTTGGAAAAATTTTGCACGAAAATAAAGAGAAAAGGAATTTTTTTTTAAACATCAAGGAATAATAAAAACTTAGATATTTAAAACTGATAATGTCTGCAAAATATAATGTACTAGCGAACCCGTCCCCGCGCGTTGCCGCAGGAATAGAAGGAAGTCAGAAAAAATATATAAGAAGGGTTTCGTCCATGCTTTACCAATCCTATATTCTTAGACGCGTGACCTTGTTTTCTAAAAGTGAGCTATTTAAATGTAAACAATGCCTGCCCTTGGACCATAAATATCCAGACACATGTTTAACTACACTACCGCATAAAAACCTTGAGTGCACATTAATCACTCACCGAAATAATATGGTAGAACACACTTCGGTGACCGCCCATGTGTCAGGGACGTAGAGGAGCGCTCACAGGAGCCCCCCCCCCCAAGATTACACTACCGCATAGGAGCAGCATACGGCCCCTGGCTCCTTAAAACTAACAGGCGCCATTGTGCTCATAGGATAACCCAGAGTGCCAATGATGCAGATTGCGGCATTCGCTAACCTGTTTTAAACATCAGTGTGACTGATGCAATATGTTAGCGTTACTAATGGTCTATTATTCGATGTTTGATCTTAATTTCTGATTGGATTGTATAAAAATAGATGCTTATTGCATCATTCGCAAAGTGACTAAACTATTTGGATTTTTTTTTTACGGACCAAAAAAGAAACATCCCAGTTAATAATCTTACCTTGGTTAATTTTTCTGATTATTAAAATAAAACGTATTACATTACACCTGATTCAATTTAGTGAGTGTTTGTAATGCCCCATCCTATGACACTCTCTTTCACACTCTTTAGACTGAATGTAGTGGCCATAGCGTTCGCGGGAAAGACCAGAGCGCCAAATCGCATCCTGCCGGGGGGGGGGGGGGGGGTCGCCCATGCAAAAGTCCCCCTTCCCACAACCACCCCAGAAACCTTGGGAGTATTCATGAACTCCCAAAAGTTTTATGACACCCGGATAAACTGCGTCGAACCGCAATCGTCTTTTATTTTTATATACCGTATATAGAGAGTAAACAAATCGCTGCAAATTAGAAAATGTTTTTTACGCAGAAACCTCCCCAGGACTATTCTCACCATCTTCCCGAAGTTTCATGGCGATCGTGTGAACAGTGTCACTGTAATTAACTTTTATTATTTTTATATACCGTACATAGAGTGTTATAATGAACTCCCCAAAGTTTCATGCCTATTGGATGAATGGTGTCAAACCTAAATGGACTTTATTTTTATATACTGTATATAGAGAAAAGTCTCACCATCCCGTGGTGCCGCCCTTGCGAAATTATAAATGATTTTTTTTTACAGAACCCTTCCCCAGAGTGTTCTAATGAACTCACCAAAGTTTGAAGGCGATCGGATGAATGGTGTCAAACCAAAATCAAGTTTTATTTTTATATACTGTATATAGTGAAAAATCGCACCCTCCCGTGGCGCCACCCTTGCAAAATTAAAAATGATTTTTTTACAGAACCCTTCCCCAGAGTGTTCTAATGAACTCACCAAAGTCTCATGGCTAACGGATGAACGGTGTCAAACGAAAATCGACTTTTATTTTTATATACCGTACACAGCGAAAAATCACATGCTCCCATGGCGCCGCCCTTGCGAAATTAAAAATGATTTTTTACAGAACCCTTCCCTGAATTGTTCTAATCAACTCCCCAAAATTTTATATCAATCGGATGAATAGTATGAAACTGCAATCGCGCCCGACCGGGGCGCCACCCCTGCAAAATCGAAAAAAAAAATTCCGCAGAAACCTCTCAACCGGTGATGTGATAAAAGGTGTGGTAATGCATAAAAGACACACAGACGCACACACACACAGTCAGACACACATACATTGCTTTTTATATATATAGATTTGTATCCCCTAGATGGTTCATTTATTTGAAATTATTCTGTATTGTAATTGTAACAGAAATCTAACACAAAATAAGAAGGTATTTTATCATATTGGATAAAGAACGGTTTAACCATGCTTTTTTTTTTTGGAAACATTTGTTGAGATCAAAAGAAACCAAGTTTAAAAACTGAATTGAGTAGATGTTTGAAAAAAAAGTTTCTAGAAGCAGATACAGTAAACCACTGGATTGACTGAATACAATGTGGACAAATAAATCAAATACTGAGCCACAAAAGATATAATCTTTATTTTTTAATCCTTTAATCTTGTATTCATTTTTTTCTTTTCAAAGTAATTTATCATCAATTTAACTGTTACATTTTTAAAAAGTTAAATGTGTAATTTTTTTTTAGTTTGCTGGTAGTCAACTTAAAGAGCTTCAAAAAGCTCTTTCGAACCCAGCTTCCAATTTAGGCCTTCTTGTTGAAGCTGGAGCCAAGAGAGCAAAAAGGTACTACTAATTCTTTGTTATTTATCAGAATTTTAATTCATAAATGAAGACCATAAGGGGAAAACTGCTGTTGTCCAGTACTGTTGTATGTTTTTAAAAAACCTCAACAATGCCTTATTTTGGTGGAAGGGCGGAACTACAGTGCCAAAATGCGGGGGGGGGGGGGGGGGTGATGGTGGTGGGCACAGCCGACCATAATCAAGTTTTTTATAGTTAAAAAAATAAATTTTTCTTGCATTTTCGACTTGATTGTTATTTTGTAAAAAGAATACTGTAGCTACTGTTGGATTAATTTTATTCTATAGACACCATCCTACAATCAAACACACGCTGTTGTCGGCAAAACGTTTTTGAAAATAAATCAAAAGTCCATCGCGCGAGAGACCGCTAGATATTAAGATGACCTTTGCTTCTTTATATAATTAGGGCCCACAATCCATTGTGATTTTATAATGTAAAATGTTCATTTGTTTTATTGTTAGAACTACTTTTCTGTACTTTTTCGGTTTTATGTACGTTTACTTCTTTTTATTTTACAAACAAATACGATAGTAAATGTGTATAATTTGAATTCTCTCCCTTGAGTGTTTCACAATAGGCTTTAGGAAAAGTAGTTAAGACTATCCCAACTCTGTACAATTTGGGAGGTTTTTGAGTACTCATAGACCTAACATTTGTTTAAAATGTGTAGTTTAGGTGCCTGAGATCCCCAGTGGCTAAGCACCAGAGGTCCGCTTATAGGTGTACTACTAAAATCATCAGTCTCGCTGCATTAGGGACCTTCGCCTGTGGTCGTGTCCTAAGAGCCCTGTGACGCCTCTGACACCAAGGCCATTGTCAAGGGGTGTTTCTTTCACCAGCGTAAACCGCTGCGTGTCTGCAGTAGTGTGTACAAACTAGTGCACCAACAACTAAGCCTTGATAGTTGTTTTGTAAAAAAAACCCAGATCTATTACTGCAATTGCACAACCTAGTGCACAACAAATCACTGCAAGCATAAAAATAACAATGTAAATCTAAATAATAATCAATTAAGATTTAATTTTTATGATCCTTACGGTATAAAAAAAAAAATCTGCTCATGATCTTCTAATTCAGTTTGCGGACTGGCTGGCCAAAGGCCGAAATCAAAAGCCATTTCAGACTTTGGCCAGTCCACCATGGCTAGTCCGCGGATTGGCTGGCAAAAGGCCAAAATGAAGTAAAGTTTCGGACTTTAGCAGATCAATGAGAGGCTATATTGGCCAATGCGTGCATTGGCTGGCCCAGATACCAAAAGGTCATAAAATTTGCATTACACCATTCTCTCAATCACACCTGTGATGGTTTGTCACTGACAATGCACCAGGAAGAAGTGGATTTAACAGGGTAGAAAGGAAAATGGCTCCACTAAGTGTTGGCTTACTCAACTAATTTTACCCAAAGAAAGACCAGTTAAAATTTTTTTAAAGATAATAAAGTTAGGTTACTTTGTGAAAGATGATGTCCATCATATAGGCTACCATATTAGATAACATATAGGATGGTATTCCCCTGTGATTGAAGTCTGCAAGGACTACCGACATTTACATAAAATAATTTTTAAATAATTTAATCCTTTCAGCTTAACATTGCCTCACTTTATACTTTGTTCTTACTGGTACAACATTCTAGTACTGCTTGTATAACTTTAACGCTGTGTCAACTAACAGCAGTTTAAGTATTGAAAAACAGAATTTAAAACAAAGGATAAGTTGTAAATTAAGGATTGGGGTGGAGTTTGATGTCTGTTTAAAGGTTCTGAAATAATTTTTTATGGCCAAATAAGAGGAATGTCATTTCTAGAAGTGTGCTCTTGATAAAAAAACACTTTGGTAAAGAGTTGTCACAGTTTTTAAAATTGAACAATAGAAAAAAGTATGTAGGCAAAGACATTACATCATTCAAAGTGTAAAAGGGTGAAAATAGTGAATATTTCTTTAATGGACAAGCTTTGTGCTATTGCATAAAATCTTTCTATCCTAAATCTAGAACAGTTTTTTTTTTAATTTGTTAAAATATAAGTCTTATAATATATGTGTATTTTTAGTATTGAAAGAAAACCTGTTACATTTTCTCACTTTTTAAAAATAAAAAGCTTTTACAGACTTCTACAGGCTTTTTATGTGAACTTGTATAAATTGTTGGAATAACAAATATTTTTAACTTCTAGCTTATAATTAATTGAAAAAAATATTTTTTTGGGGCAATATGTTGTTATCAATAGTCCATTTTTGCAATCAGCTTTTGGATAAACAGTGTCAGTCACCCTATAGTATAGGTGTAGAGGGGGTGGAAGCAGGCGTTGTAACTGAAATAGCAATATTAACAGAAAGTGATATTTCAACGCCAGGGGTAGACAAAGGTACATAAAATAGTCCAAGTAAAGACAAGCAATCAGAAACCAGATCCCGTTGGTTTCTGACTGCTTGTCTTTACTTGGACTATTTTATGTACCTTTGTCTACCCCTGGCGTTGAAATATCACTTTCTGTTAATATTGGTATGTCTGTAAAGTTAGATTCTTACATATTTAGATTGGTTGGAATAGCACCTGGAAATGTATCATTTAGCAAGTATGTTCATTCAGATTTAGCTCTTGCTGGTGAAAAGGTAAGAATTTTTAGTTTTTAATTTCTATATAATAATAAATTAACAACTACTACTTAAAACATTTTTTAGATTAATGTTACTTTTTATTAATCTAACATAACACTAAGCCTAGCTTTTGCCTTGGACTGACAATAGGTATACTCCCATATGTTTAAAAAAAATCATTATCATTTTAGGGAAATACTTTTAAGTAAATATCAAATTCATTTCAGACTGCAAAATCTATTAATGCTTTTGGAGAAACTGTGGAAGATTTGTTGATTCAGTACAACAAGAAAATTATTGGTACATTTCTGTAAATATATATTCTATTAACAAAGAAGTAGAGGGCTAAAATGAAATTGATTCTGCTAATACTGGGCCTTATTTGCTTATCATTTTTTTTCTCTAAATTTGTAATAGCTATCTTAACCTTATACTAAGAAAAACACAGCACTAATCTTTCAACATTGTAAACTAACACAAGGAACTGAGATTTCTGAGTTTAAATATATATTATTTTCTTCAGATGAACAATTCATTTTAAAAAGATTAGCAGATGCAGCAATAGACATTTATGGAATGGTTTCAGTTCTCTCCAGGGCAACGCGTAGCCTAAATAATAACTACATCTCTGCAAAACATGAAGCATTGATTTGTAGTGTTTGGTGTCATGAGGTAAATCACTTTAAAAATTCTCAGCATTTATCTTGAAACCTGCAATCTTTATTTTTTTGTTTCAAATCCTAATCTTTCTTCTCATTACTCTCTGTATAAGTAATATAACTGTTGAGTTTGCCCAAGAAAATTTCACTTTTATCTTAAAATTTTTGTGCTATTAATGACAATTTATTAACAGTGGATACATCTTAAAACTTCATTCTTGGACTATATACAGTATTTAAAAAAAATCTGTTCCTATTTGACACTGTTCATGCTATCACCATCAATCTTTGGGGAGTTGATGAGAATACACCAGGGGAAATGTCTGCCAAAAGAACTTTTTTTATTTCGCAAGGGCGATACCCTGGGAGAGTGTGATTTTTCTCTATAAACGGTATATAAAAAGTAAAAGTTGGATCCGGTTTAACACTATTTATTCAAATGCCATGAAAGAGCTTTGGGGAGTGATGAGAATACTCCTGAAAAGGTTTCTGCAAGAAAAAAATGTAAATTTCTTATTGGCTGTGCCCAGGAAGGTGCGATTTTAGTCAATAAACGGTTTGGCACCCAGAGTTCCAGAGCAACAGTCTTAGCACTTGGTATCAGTTACAGATGCAGCCGACTGCGCCCGGCAATTGCATAACCAAAAGCGCCTCAGGCTCCCCTGTGAGCACAATGGCCCATACGGTCGTTTCATATAGTTTTACAATTTTTAGCCCCTCAAACTTGACACTTTTTAGGGTGTTGAAAAAAGTTAAAAACCAAACTTTTAAAAGGTCATACAATTTTAAATACATGAGATTATGAACAAATTCAGTATCCACAATCTTAGAATCTTGACATTGCAACTTCTGAAAAAGAGACCTACCTGTAAGAAGGCAACCGCGCATCGCACTATAATATTTATATATACATACACATATATACATAATTTCTATCTACCAGGCTGCTGATCGTGTTAAAGTTAATCTTCATCAGACAACAGACACCACCTCTAAAAAGAATTTTGACAACTTAGCAATAATTTCTAAAGAGGTTGTAGGTGCCGGAGGACCTTTTCATAGGCATGCTTTAGGGTTTTGATTACGGCTATTTTATTTAAAACCATGTTTACTAAAATAAAATTCCAATTATATTGTATTTATTTTAATGTATCTATGTAATTCAATATACAGTGGTACCTCTAGATACAAATTTAATTCATTACATAATGTTGCTCGTATGTCAATGTTTGTATCTTAAAGTTAAAGCAATTTTTTTAAATGAGTTTAAATGCCATAAATCCATTTCAGCTCACTAATGCCACGCCAGATGTTTTTGCTAAGTATTTTAATAACAAAAATGTTTTTATAAATAACAAATGGTGTGTAAAAGTAAAAGCATAATAGAGGTGAATGTAAAGAAATGAACTGGTTTTATAAACTAAAGTGTATATTCTTTGGAAATCAGCCGATTTGAGCTGATTGGTCTGGCAGAGGTTAAGGTGGGGGAGATCGGTGGAGAAGTTTTAGTTACAGTCTTAAAGGTACACTTTATCCCTAAACTTAATGGAACTTAACTAAAATCCATTAAACAAAGTTGAACTTAAATGCTGCTTGATAATTTATTCTTGCTTTTGCTTAGTTTTCGTGATTTCTTTTTATTTCCCATTTTCACCTTGCTTTACTCACTTTCACTTCAGTGTCACTTAAGATTTTAAACTTCATTATTGTTCAAGATGACTTAAACAATTATAAACTACAATTATTTACCTTTAATGTGATACCAATTTTATTTATCAAATGTAATCGGTAGCCTAGAAAAGGATTTGTGAAAAAACGTGCAGAATAAATGGCTACGATGATATCAGGGGCGGAACTACAGTGCCGCCAGGGCCACGCCATTTATAGTTTAAAAACATATTTTCTTGCATTTTTTACTTGACGGTAAAAGCTTTTGTAAATAACAAACAGATCTACTACAGTAGTGATGACATACAGTAGTCAACATATGCCTGAGTTGTAGTGTGAAAGAAGGCAAACGTTCAAAACACTTTCATGACTTATTTCCCTTTTTACTTTCTCGTATATACGTAGTATAGAGAAAGTATTGTAATCGTGCAAAAAAAAAAATCGAGATTTTTACAAATCTCGACGTTTTACACCTCACTGATACGGAAAAACATAATTTTGCAATCTTGTCCGTATGTCTGTGTGTGTCTGTCCGTGTGTGTGTGTCTGTGTGTAAACACGATAACTTGAGTACCGTTACAGCTAGGTTGATGAAATTTCATATATAAGTATTTAATCAAAATCGTAGATCCGTATCAACTTTTGAGCGATTTCCGATAACCGGAAGTGGTACTTTTCCAACTTTGAATTTTTCAAAAGCCTATAACTTGAGTACTATTTCAGATAGATAAATGAAATTTCATACGTAAGTAAAAGATCTAATTCTCTACCTTCTATTAAATTTTGAGTCATTTCCGTTGACTGGAAGTAGTACTTTACGCTACTTCCGATTTCTCAAAAAACTAATGTAAATTTTAAAAGTAATAATAATATTGCGCACTATTATGCGCTTTTTTATTTCGCGTTCACTTGGTGTGCAATTAATTTGTCTACGAGATTTTATTCTATTTTTAAAACTTTAAGTATTTAAAATGGATTAAAAATCATGTCTATAGCCCGAGTTCCCATCCCCTGTTATTTTATATAAGAATATTCGAGAAAGTTTAGGGGAGATCACTCCCGGTTTATTTAAATAGTCAAATAGGAGTGCTCATAAGCTCCTTTTAATATATTTGTACTAATCAAATTAAAAAGCAATTACTTCTCTTTATTATATTTTTTTTTAAATTGACATAGCATAAAACCGAAATAGGTAATCCCTTAGTTTAGCGTCGGAAATTATCGGGTAATGTTTGTTGAGTTTCGGTAAATAGAGTTACGGTAAACTATCGTTTATTTGACCATTGAAATATGATAAATAATTAGATTCTAGATCTAGCTAGATATCTAGCTGCTAGGCCAAGTAAAAAAAATCTAGATTACGAAAATAGTAAAAATGATTACAAAATGTAAAATGATTACAAAAATAAATCTATCCAAATTTAAACATTCTGTATAAAAATAAAAGATGACGCCAAATAAAGTATGGTTCACAGTACTCCCGGTGAATTCCGGAAGTGTGTGACAGACTTTGGCATTGTTTTACTGTTTTTTACTGCTATACGATTCCGGAATAATAACCGACGCTAAACTAAGGGATTACCCCGAAATATATTTAAAACAAATAATTCAAATACAAAAAAACATAAAAATACACATAACACTAGAAACCATTACACATACGAAGCTTCAACGCTTTATATTCTTTTGACCTGCAAATAATTGAGGGTAAGAAGTATTACAATAAGCATATTGAATAAGCAAGTTCTAAATGTAAAAAAAAAAAAAATTCAAAACAGACTAATGTACTCACACACATGACATGTTGTAATTTATTTAAATTGAAAGAAAAAAAACATTTTTTTTTTTCAAAATCCGATCACGCCAGAAATGACTATCCAATGTTTGTATTCTGTGTTTGTGTGTGTGTATATATATATATATATATATATATATATATATATATATATATATATATATATATATATATGTATATATATATATATATTCAAATACACGGCGAGCAATATGGGCGGGCTTAATTAGCTGTTGTCTCGATTATGTTATTTATTATATTTATAATTTTTTATAGGTTTTGTTTTTACCCTGCATGATTTTTAAACATTAAAATTAATGACATTAGTTTAGTAGAAAACAATTTATAATGTCCTATAGTTTAGAATATATTTTCAGTATGTTTAGAACAATATTAAACAAAGAAATTGATGTTTTGCTTACTTTAATTATGTTCTGCTCGATATCCTCAACGATTAGACCAAAAACAAGGTAATTAAAAAGTCTAGTGACAACTTTAGCGCAATTTTCTTATGTTATCTAAAAATAGCTCTGTCGTAGTGTAAATCAAGAGCAGGGTTAGTAAAACCATTGGTTAAAATACATGTTTTATTTACAATAGAGTTACATGACTAAAAACCATTGCGCGCCTAGCTACTGAACGTGATGGCGCAGCTATTGAACGTGATGACGCGTGTGGTGTGGTTGGATTAAAATGCCTACTAATTCGGTCCAAATTTTTATTAATTCAAAAAAAATTTTGTGACCGAAAGAAAGGATATTTTTGAAAACTTTCTTCGGCAATATTGTTCTAAATTATGGCAGGAATCGATTGGTACATGTTTCAAGTCGCTAAGTGGTCTGGTTGCCGAGATATGGGCCAAAAACTGCATTTTTTCGAGGTTTTTTTGGCTTTTCCGGGAAATCCATGAAAGAAACCCGGAATTTTTGGCCTATGTTCATCCTCGTAACTTGCTTAACATAATTGCTTTTGGAACTAGTCCTCGATATTGCTTCGTTGAGGAGGAGATACGACTTAAAGCTGCGGACACACATCCATTCATTCATACATTCATACATCCAGAAATGACGGGTTAATAAACGCAATTCTCCAGAATGGAAATTGCGCTAAAAAATGTACAAATGGCAAGTTTACATTGATCACTAATCTTCCATTGTTAAAACTGGTGAACGGAAAAATGTCACAGGAAAAAATAAACCGGGAGTGATCTCCCCTAAACTTTCTCGAATATTTTTATATAAAATAACAGGGGATGGGAACTCGGGCTATAGACATGATTTTTAATCCATTTTAATTAAATACTTAAAGTTTTAAAAATAGAATAAAATCTCGTAGACAAAAGAATTGCACACCAAGTGAACGCTAAATAAAAAAGTTCATAATAGTGCGCAATATTATTAGTACTTTAAAAATTTACATTAGTTTTTTGAGAAATCGGAAGTAGCGTAAATTACTACTTCCATTCAACGGAAATGACTCAAAATTTAACAGAAGGTAGAGAATTAGATCTTTTACTTACATGTGAAATTTCGTTTATCTATCTGAAATAGTACTCAAGTTATAGGCTTTTGAAAATTTCAAAGTAGGAAAAGTACCACTTCCGGTTATCGGAAATCGCTCAAAAGTTGATACGGATCTACGATTTTGATAAAATACTTGTATATGAAATTTCATCAACCTAACTGTAACGGTACTCAAGTTATCGTGTTTACAGACAGACAGACATACGGACAAGATTGCAAAATTATGTTTTTCCGTATCAGTGAGATGTAAAACGTCGAGATTTGTAAAAATCTAGATTTTTTTTTTTTTTTTTTGCACGATTACAATACTTTCTCTATACTTCGTATATACGAGAAAGTAAAAAACAGAAAAAAAGTCAGTTTTTGCTAGGAAAAAAGTCACAAAGGAAAAATTATATCGGAAAAAAGTCACAGAAATAAAGTCACAAAAATCTTTTAAGAAATTTTTTATTTTATTGTTGTGTATTGTTAAATTTTGAGTTTTTATTTATGTGGGTGGTATTTTTTTTTGTAGCATATTTGCAAACTTTAAAGCTTTGTGGTTTAAAACAATATTACATAATACTATAAGATAATTTATACAGCAACCTCAAATGTTACGTATTTAGCTAAATACGCTGTAGTAAAAAAATAATTATTAAAGACATTTAGGCACATCATTGTGTTTTGCATTTGTTTTTTGCCGCATGCCATTCCTTGATGGGCTTTTCCTTTGTCTGCCTGATCCGTCCATATTGTGTGTTGTCGACCTTTTGCGTCAATGACAGTCTCTGTACCGTGTCGGTCTTCTGTTTTGATCCTATGCTTTGTTATGTAGTGTGCATGAAAATGTGGTCAGAAAAGGTGGTTAAACTATTGTTGCGATGAGTTAACGTAAAGCAAGTCAGATTATTTAAGTTTTATGACATCTCACGCTAATTTAAAGTTAGTGTGTATAAAACCCCATGAAAACCAAGAAGGTTAGAACGTTCTATCAAAATTTATTAAACATTACATATGGGCCTGCTGTAACGGAATTAAAACCTACGTACTTCATACAAAATATTTTTTAATAAATAATATGCAACCTACACACATTACATTCATCAATTGTAAGTTGATTTGCACTTTCTGAATATTTAATACATAAAAGTATTAACAAATTTCATACAAATATATATTTGTGACTTTTTTCCTGTGACTTCTTTTCCTGTGACTTTTTTCTGTTTTTTGTTTTCCTATGACTTTTTTCCTACAATCGTTAAAACTAGACCCGTGTCGTTAAATAATTTGCAGAATTAACGATTTTAAGTATATATTTCTGAAATGACCATAAAACATTGTTTAAAAAAACCGAATCACGGTATTGTCGTTTTCAGCAGCCATCTTTACTGTGATGACAGTATAAAAAAGTAGGTCAAGTAACAGGCTACTTTCACTTGCTTCCCATTGAAACAAAACAATATATATATATATATATATATATATATATATATATATATATATATATATATATATATATATATATATATTTATACATACATATATATATATATATATATGTATACAAAATGTATATATGTATGTATACATGTATATATGTATATGTATGTATATATGTA